TACCTCCCCCCCAAACACACACACACACACACACACACACACGAGGCCCCGGGACATTGCAATCTCACACACACACACACACACACACACACATAACCAGGCCCCGGGACCCTGCCCTTGACGCTAAGGCACTATTACCCCGTGTTAACCGTGTGTGCCGGAGCGGGGCTATGGAGTTCGTGTCTGAGCAGAGCTGCGTTCCAGCGAGCCCTTCCGAGCGGACCGTGGGGCCAGCTGGGAGGGGCCCCGGCTCGAGAGCAGGCCCGCCCACCTCCTCTGGCGCACAGCTGGATTCCGGAATCCGGGCCCGCGGGCAGAGCCCGACCCCGCCTGGGCCCCTCCTGCCGGCCATTTCTCCAGCACCCGGCAGACGTCCGAAGGAGACACCCCCACCCGCCCCCGCCATCCGGTGGATAAAAATAGCCGCGCGCAGGCCTTGGGAACGGTAATGGGAGCCACATGTTGGCCAGATGTGCCCGGGAGAGACCGCCGGGAATGCGGAGGGCCCGGAGCGCCCGACCGGCCCCGCCCCTGTCCCGCAGGCCCCGCCCCCGCACGGACCAGGCAGGCGCGGGCGAGCGCGTACGCGGCAGTTTATTTTCTTGCGTTTCTCAAAGTCGTGTGCTAGGACGTGGGAGGCCGGAGCCTGACTTGCCCCCAGGTCCCGCCGTGGTCCCTTCCAGGCCCACCCTCAGTGCGTCTGTGTCTGCGTCTGCGCGTGGATGGAGCCCCGGGTCCGGGACTCCTGAGTCCCCTGCTTCATCTGCACCTAGTCGGGAGAGGGCGTTCAGGACAGGCCGTCAGGGGAGGGCCAGCCTCCAGCCCCGTGGGCTCCGCACCCCACCCACCTCCAGCAACTGGCGCTTCTCCTTCTCGCTCTTCAGCTCCTCCCAGATGTCGGTCAGCTTCCTCCTGCGGACGGGAGGCCGAGGGGGAGGGGTGGGCTGGGCAGGCTTAGAGCCCTCGGCCCCCTCCCTGCCCACGCCCCTCCCCCTCCCCACTTACTCCAGCTGCACCCCCATCCGCTCCAGCGACCTCCTCAAAGACTCCATCTCGTCCTGTAGCCTCATTATATCACCTCTGTCACTTTTGCTGTCCGTGAGATTTTGCGGGACCAGGGAAAGTAGGGTGGGAGTCTCTTGGGGGTCTGGAGTCGACTTGATAGAATGAGGATTCTTTTGAGCAGGGGCTACCTCTTTGGGGGACACCTGCTCTTTGGGGAGTGCCGCCTCTTCCAGGGTACCCTCATGCTTCCCAGGCGCCTCCTCAAGGAGAGTTGTAGCCTTCTCAAGGGCAAGCATGGACCCTGGCTTGGACTTAGACTCAGACTGGAATGGGGAGCTGTCCTTCTGATCGAGAGGGTGTGTCATCATGCAGAGATTGGGCTCCTCTGCCATGTGGACCTCTTGGGATTGAGCCTCACTGGCCACAGGAGACTTGAACTTCAGCAGGGCTTGGTCCAGAGAGAAGTGATGGAACTGAGTGTTGTCTCTACTGGAGGCCTCTTCAGAGGGCACCTGCTCAGGGGTCAAGACCTTTTCTAGGGTGGGCGCCTCATCCCCAGGAGAGACCATCTTTGGGCCAAGGACTTCATCCTCTGGTGGGACTTCTGGGGCAGGGGCCTCATCCACAGAAATGAGGCTGTCTGGGCTGGGAGCCTTGTCTAGAGTCAGACCCTCCTGTGGGGTGGGGATCTTTGGGGCTGAGGCCTTGAACTCTAGAGTCAGGGCCTCCTCAGAGATGGTGACCTTATCTGGAGTCAGGGTTTCCTCTGGAGTGGGGGCCTTATCCGGAGACAGAGTCTTCTCTGGGCTGGGGGTCTTGTCCAGAGTGGGGGTTTTATTCACAGGAGAGGCCTTTGCTGGGCTGCTCTGCTCTTCTTCCTGTGGTGATGGGGGTGAAGTCTCAGCCGAGGGATGGGGACCTTGACAGTTTGAGTCAGGCTCCCCTTGGCCTGGGATCCTTCACCCTTCACAACCATAGCCCTGGGAACCAGACTCTGCCCAGTGGTCCCGGTGTCTCAGGGCCTCTTACCTGACTGGTTGCAGAGCGCTGCCGGGAAGCCTGGGTTTTTGATCCCTTTCTACCAGGGTGGCCTGGACCCCTGCTGAGGAAGCTGCCGCCACCGGAGCCTATGAGAGCAGAACCTCAGGGGTCCAAGCTCTTCTGTCCCCGAGTCTCTCCCCATCTTTGTCCTTCAGCACAACCACCCTATCCCTGTCCCTCATTCCTACCCCACTGTGGGAGGCAACGAGACCTACCCAAGTGTCGGGAGGGGCGCTTCTGACTGTCTCCGCCGCTGGGTGTCCAAGAAGGCCTGGAACATATTCCCATCAGACCAGGAGGTGGGGTCAGGGAACAGCATTTCCTTTGTACCCTCCTCCTTCCCCCACCCCCACCCTGCTCCTTACTTGGTTTTGTTGGGCCCAGTAGCGGCTGTCACCAGCTTCCTGACTGTAGGGAGAGCCGATTTGGGCATCATCTTTTTTGGTTCCTTAATAGGAGCTGGGAGGGGAGAAGGGAGTGTGGCACCCATTCACTCCCTTATTCATCCATCTAACAGTTGCTGGCCCTGTCCTCTGCATGGGGGACTAGGGACAGGAGATGAACATTTGACTCTGCCTCTTCGGAACTCTGGGGAAGCCGACCACCCTCATGCCACGTGGGCATGGGAACTGTGGGAGCAGCCCAAAGGGACACATAGCAGAAGACAGTTGTCAGGGAAGGCTTTGGAGGGGACAGGGTTTCATATCCTGCCAGTTTTTTTATCCATACTTTTTTTTTTAAAGTAATCTCTGTGCCCAACATGTGTCTCAAACTCACAACCCCAAGACCAAGAGTTGCGCGCTCCAGGGACTGAGCCAGCCAGGCGCTTCTATCCCTACTTTTCTATCCATACTTTTCTATGACCTGTCCCCTGCTCAGTGCCAGGGCTGCCTCCCTGGTTCAGATTTCATCTTTTTCCTAGACCACAGCAATAACCTTCCCCAATCCAAACCACCCTCCCTGGAACTTCTTGGTCTTCTCTATCTCCTTCACTCCCTAAGAGATCTCACCCAGTTTTATGGGGTTAATTAGTGCCAATAAGCCAACGACTCCCATATTTTCAACTCTAGCCCCTGAACTCCAGGTTCCTATCCAACTGTCCTGTTTCCACCTGGGGAGCTAACTGGCATCACACACTTAACGTATCCAAATCTGAGCCCTCACTTCCCATCCCCCAAATCTGCCTCTTTCCAGTGTTCCCCACCTCACCCACTTACCCGCTCGTGCAGATGACAAAATGAGTCATCCTTGACCTCTTTCATTCCCTTATGCTGCACATCCAAACCAGCAGTAAATCCTGATTGCTCCACCTTCAAAACAGGTCCTGAATGCAACCGCTCCTCACCAGCCCTGCCACTAAGCACTCTAGACCGAGGCACCCCCACCTTCACCTGGACAGGGCAGCAGCCTCCGAGCGGGGCTCTGGCCACACCCCCCCTGCCCATGGCTTGTTCCCACAGCAGTCAGAGTGAGCTCGGGTTCCGCCGGGGCCGCAGACATAAGCAAAAGTAGAATATGTCATGTGTGAGAGAGTTATTAGGTGTTACCGAGGAAGAACAAGCAGGGGAATGTCAATTTTAAATGGGGCGGTCAGAGAAGGCGCACTGAGAAGGTGACACCAGAGTGAACAGTCACAAGCGGTGACCTTTATATTTGTGGACACACGAGCAGCCCCGGCCTAGGCACGCACACGTCCTGGTTAGTCACACACGCGGTATCAGACGCGGCCATGCACATGAACCCCCTGGCCGTATGCACAGCGCGCCAGAGCATAGACCCTGTAGCCCGACGCCAGGCTCTGACTTCCTGCTCCACTCTGTGCCAGCCATGTGAGGACCCGGCTGGGTCACCTCACCGCCCTGTGCCCTGGGCCACGACAGTATACACCTGGTGGGGTTACTGCGAGGTCTGAGAGGACTTCACTCACGTGAGGCGCTCAGAAGAGGATGGGACATAGAGTCAAAGCTCAGAAAATGTTCACTTTGACTTCAGCTTCTCGTACTTTAGCTGATTAGGTGCTCGGTAGGGCCCTCCCCCTAGAGAGCAATTCTGTCCTCCGGAGGATACAATTTTGAGGCACTGTTGGGCCTCAAAGAAGTGGGGGAGGTCCACAAAAAAGGGAGGAACTGAGGCCAGAAGGGCAATAGGAGGGCCAACTACTGTGGCTCCGGAGCCTGGGCCTGTGATGAGGAGCCAATATCCAGGGTGCGCCCCCTGAGTCCCCCACAGGCCCAAGCGTGGTAGCTAAGCAGCAGTGCCAGCCCTGCACACCCCCTTCTTCTAGAGGGCTCTGGTGTCTCTGGTGGTTGGTGCCCTTTGGCTCCAGGCGGAAGGAGAAGCAAGTCCTCTCTGGAAGAAGGCCTCCCCTCCCGAGCCGGGAACTCCCTCAGGTTGGGATCAAGTCCTGAGCTCACACACAAAGATCACAAAACACACAAGACGGCAGGCCACTGAGAATGGGAGTCGGCAGACACGATGCACAGCAGGTACTGGAATTGCCAGAGAACACAGCTGTGCTACATGGCATGCAACAAAACGGGAATAAGCAGGCAGATCTGGGGGGTGGGGGAGGAAAACTGAGCGACTAGAGATGAAAAATAGCATTCTTGAAATAAATCAAATGCAATATAGGTTAAATAGCAGGTAAAACACAGCCAAAAAGCCAGAAAGAGAATTACTAAGCTGGAAGCACAGCGAGGCAAGGAGCAGAACATTTGAAAGCACTGGTAAAAAGAATGGATAATGAAAGGGGGTTTGGCTACGGCTGAATGACGCGGTAGACAAATCCTCACCTCGCAAGGCAACTAGAAAGCTGGACAAAACCACCATTTCTGCGCTCTGGAAGTTGACCAAAGGCCTAAGATAACCTGAGAATTGTTTACGCTTGATGGCCTCCTTGGCCGCACCTGCCCCCATCCCTGCCCCTGCTCCCGCCAGCCTGGTCTATGCAGACGCTCTGCTCTGCAGCGTAGGGCCGGCTGCAAGGATTGGCAGCTTCACTGCCACGGTGGAAGAGAGGTCACTCAATTTAGGGTGTAGCCTTGGACTTGGCACTGGTTTCATAGATAGGACACCAAAAGCATAAAGCAACCAAAGAGAAAATAGAGACATGAGACTTCCTTCAGATGTAAAACTTCTGTGCATTAAATAGGATACCAGTAAGAAAATGAAAAGACAACAGGATGGGAGAAAATATTTGCAGTCTACGTCCGATAAGGGACTTTTCTCAAGATATATAAAGAACTCTAGAAGTCAATAGTCAAAAGTCAAATAACCCAATTAAAAAATAGGCAAAGGACCCAAACAGACATTTCACTGAAAGATATACAAATTGGCAATAAACCTATGAAAAGATGCTCAACACTTAAGTGGGTAGAAAAAGATGATGCGGAACCATAATGAGATACCACCCCACACTGACTAGGGTGATTATAATAAAAAAGAGAGTAACAAATGCTGGTGAGGATGTGGAAAAAGTAGAACCATCATGCATTGCTGGTGAAAACCATGTGACAGTTCTTCCCAAAGCTACTACAGAGCAATCATAGCACCCAGAAATCCCTTTCCTACGCATACACCCAAGAGAAATGGAAACATGCCAACACAAAAACTTGCACACAAATGCTCATACCCCAAAAAGTAGAAACAACCCAATGTCCACCAGCAAACAGATGGATAAAATGTCGTACATACCCACGATGGAATATTGGGCAACAAAAAGGAACCAAGTACAACATATACTAGAGAATGGATGAACCTTGAAAACAAAAGGTACAACAGAAAGGTTTTTCTCTGGGTCATGAGATGGAGCCCCACATGGGGCTCCATGCTGGGCGTGGAGCCTGCTTGGGATTCTTTCTCTCCCTCTCCCTCTGCCCCTCCTTTCTCTCTCTCTCAATCTTAAAAAAAAAAAAAGTTTTTTTTAAAGTATTTGAATATATTAACAACTCTGATGAGACTGAACAAGAAAAAAAGAAAAAATAATTATTAGAAATGAATAAAAGACTAAGTGCAGATACAGACTATGAGAGAATATTATGAATAACCTTATACTAATAATTAGAAAACATTGATGAAATGTATAATTATAAATATAATTCACTAGGGGCACATGGCTGGCTTAGTCAGTGGAACGCGAGACTCTTGATCTCGGGGTTGTGAGTTTGAGCCCCCCATTGGCCGTAGAGATTACTTTAAAAAATAAATAATTAAAAAAACAAAAATGAAAATAAAACTGATTCAAGAATTTTAGCCAGATTCCTGGCTAGCCATTGTTATCCAGGGACCAGGAGACCGAAAGAACGCTGTCTGTGCAAGGCTCCTAAAATGCAAGATTTCCTCCCATCTGAGTTCCAAGGTGAAGAAGCCATTTGAACAGAAGTTGTAAGGGGGTCTTTGCAGATGTAATCAAGTTAAGAGGAGGTCACACTCTATCGGGGCCCTAAACCAGTGACTGGTGACCTTATTAGAAGAGGAGAATTTGGACGCAGTGCAGACAACAATGTGAAGACAGGCAGAGAAGAGTGGCAGATACATCTATAAGCCAAGGATTGCCAGCAACTACCAGAAGCTAAGAGACAAGGAAAGATGCTTCCCCTAGACTCTTCACAGCAAACATGGCTATGCCAACATCTTGGTTTCGGATTTCTAGCCCCCAGAACTGTGAGAGATTAAATTTCTGTTGATTTAAGCCAAACAAAACAAAGAAGAAGAAAAAAGAAAAAGAATTTCAGCCAAACCTTCCCATAACTATTAAACAAATTTAAAAAAAAAAAAAAAAAAGGAAGAAGAAATTGAAGTCGTTTAAAATCTTCCTATAATGGGGGGAAAAAAACAAACAAACAGGGCCAGATGGATTTACAGGCAAGTTTTATCAACTCTCAAGGAATGATGATTCCCATTTTTTTTTCCCCCCAAGTAAACTCTACCCCCAGTGTGGGGCTTAAGCTCACAACTGAGATCAAGAGTCATATACTCTACGGACTGAAACAGCCATGTGCCCCCACAATGATTCCCATCTTTTTAAGATCTACCAGATAATTAAAAAACAAAACGTATACCCCTTAACTCATTTATGGGGCCAGTATAATATTCATAATCAGAGGAGGAGAGTAAAAATAAATGCAAAAATCTTAAGAAAAACTGGGAAAATATTCCAACGGTATATGAAAAGATAATAAAACCATGACCAATTTGAATTTATCCCAAGAATGCAAGGGTGGCTTAATATTAGCAAATTCTACAAATGTCAGAGAAATCATTTCAAAAGATTCATATAAACAATTTGAAAAAATTCAACACACACTCTTGATAAAAATTCTAAAACTAGAAATAGAAAGGCCCTTTCTTAATCTGACAAAAAGAGTATCTAAGAAAAGATCTAGGGGCACCTGGGTGGCTCAGTCGGTTAAGTGTCTGCCTTCAGCTCAGGTCATGATCTCAGGTTCCTGGGATGGAGCCCTGCTCAGCAGGGAGTCTGCTTCTCCCTCTCTCCACTCATGCTCTCTCTCTCTTTCTGTCTCTCTCAAATACATAAATAAAATCTTTAAAAAAAAAAAGATATAAGTAAGTCTCACTGTTAAAGGAGAAAAGCTGGAAACATTCCACTTAAAATCAGGAACATGGTAATGATGTTTAACATGACAACTTCTATCAACAGTGTTGAGCCCCTAGCCACTATAGTAAAATGAGAAAATAAAATGAAAAGACATAAAAAGTGGAAAAGATAGAGCAAAATTGTCATTAGTCACAGATGACATGACTGTCTTCATAGAAAACATATTAAGAAGCTAAAGACAGGGGCACCTGGGTGGTGCAGTCGTTTAAGCTTGGGCCCCACACTGGGTTCCATGCTCAGCATGGAGACTGCCTGAGATTCTCTCTCCCTCTCCACCTGCTCCTCCCACTTGCGCTCTCTCTGAAATAAATAAATAAATCTTAAATAAAAAAGGGGGGAGGGCGGGGGGGGGAGGGCGCGCCTGACTAGCTCGGTTGGTTAAGTGTCTGCCTTCGGCTCAGGTCATGATCCTGGAGTCCTGAGATCCCATGTTGGACTCGCTGCTCAGAGGGGAGTCTGCTTCTCCCTGTGCGCCTCACCCTGCTCATGTTCTCCCTTGCTTTCTCTCTCTCTCTCAAATAAATAAAAAATTTTTTAAAAAGTCTCTACAGATAAATTGTTATAAATAATCAGTTTTTAGCACCATGACCGGCTATAAAATCAATATACAAAAATCAATGCATTTCTATATTCCTGAAATAAACAGAAGGATATTTTTAAAATAAAATTTAAAATTTATTTA